ACTGGAAAGGAAAATGATGAAAGTCTTAAACAGGTGTTCCCTGGAGTAAAAACCGCCACCTTAAGCAGTTTGTTCTCTTCAATGCCCCTAATGTTGGGTCTTTAATCTCTCCTTTTCAGAGAAAGAATGATCAACATTGGGGTGACAGGGAGCCCCTGCGCTTAGCAGTTCCGACTCTCACTCGTTGAAAGCAGGCAGAAAGGGGATTTAACGACTTTGAACTTTTTACGTGATTTTTGCCTTTGGCACAGTTGTTATTAAATGAGTTCTAAAAAGGCAACAGTCCCCTACAAGAACATCAGGTTTCTAAATGATTCATCTTCTCACAGACCTTGATATTCAATCCAGGTGTAGGACTAAACAGTATAGCCCTCAGGGTCTATCCATGGGGCTTGGAAAGGCTTCAGTGAAATTCTATAGCAAAGGGCCCAGGCGCTTCCCCTGACTTTCTCTTTGTTCTACTAACTTTTTATCTCTGAAAAGCAAAGGGATTTCCTTTGGGGATTAAGCAGAGGAAACAACCTAAGGTGGTGATAGTGTTTCATTAGGATTATGAGATGCAAAGGTATCCTGGAGTTAACTGAGCAAGAAGCCCTTTACCCGAGTCTTGGACCTCCTCCCTCTTACCCAGCGGAGAGCGCCACAGCCCCTGCCCATCTGGAACTGTCCTTTCTCCGGGCCACAGGAAGATCCTGGGCAAACACAGAGGTGTCTCATCCCAAAGTAATGACATGCTGCCTTTTTTTCTCCCTTTGTATCTTTCAAAAGGTTTTACAGGTATCCTTTTGTTAACACAAAATCATTTTGTAATAGATATTTAAAAATCAGTAAGTGCCATTCTCATCCTGCCAGGTCATGTTTTTGAGTCACTGAAAGGAACAGAGGTTAGAACAAGGCAGATGATTAATTTTCTTAATGATACATTTGTACCAAGAATGTGACAAAAGAGAAATTACTCTTAAAAAATACCCTTCCTGCTCACAGAAGGCCAACGTGCTGCTGTCCTAGCCACACTTTTTATGCCAAACCAGGAGTCTGCAGAAGGATTGGAGTATGCCAAGAAAAGGATTTGTGTCAAAGCCTGACCTACCCATCTCCTGTCAACACAAGGCTAGATAAAAAGTATACACACGCTGCTACTTGAGAGCCACGAAAAAAATCTTGAAATAAGCAATTACATAAATCACATTCCTATTACATTTGTTTCTCTGATTTTTCCACTCCGATTAGTGGCTGACATTTACTTTAAAACTGTGAATGGTAACCCGAAGGACCAAATTCTAAGTTAGCTGCATTTTTATTATTTTTGAACTAAAACGTTTTCTTCTCCTTTTGGTTAATGATTGACTTTAAAATTTTCCAAGGGCAAACTATTTTCCACATTTTTTATGTGAACTTTGTTATATTTTCCTTTCACTTTATCACGATCGCTTCTTACAATTTTGGGAAGATCCTTGGCTCATGCTTTCATTGTTTCAGTGGTATTCCATCTAATTTGACAGGTTGCATTTCTATTTGCACTACATTTTTGGGTTTGTTCACTGGCCCAAATATTATTGAGGAGTTTAAGTTTTCTTTTTCATGTGTTCTGTGTGATTGAGCATTTTATTTGGTTATTTCTAATTTTATGATTTGCTCTCTGGATATACGGAATACAGTGTTGTAACTGCCTTTATATCATGTAGTCCAGAACATGGTCAAATTTTGTTTTAAAAATACACTTGGACAAAAAGGAAAATTTGCTTATATTTCCATATAGTTCTTTGTACACATGTTAAGTCTACCTTATTAGTTTTGTGGATTAATAAAATTCTACTTCTGAGCTGTTGATATTCCCAATTATTTACGTTTGCATCTCTGCCAATTTTTTCCTCTCATTCACTTTTTGCTTTATAAATTTAGAAATTTTAGATGAGTGAGCTATTTCTCCTACTGCTTTTGTTGTGAAATCTCCTTTATTAGGAGAAGAATCTCAAAGCAGAGGCTTTATTTTTTATTAGGAACATGTTTGAGATTTGGCCCCAAAGAAAAGGCAACTTTTGTACTTTGCAAAGAAAAAAAGTAGTTGTGCACACCCTCTCTACCCCCATTAACCTCTGCCTCTTGGCAAACCACTGACCTATTTCTCCAGGGAACCCAAGCTGCCATTGTGTTAGCTGACCAAGAGTCACAGCTGGGGCTTATGGAGGACAACCTGGCAATTACGCTGTGTTTCTAGATTCAACGTACATTCATAAATCCTCTGGAGCATGAAGTCTAAAACCTCATGACTTGCTAAGGTGAAAACATTGTACGAGCCATAGTGGAATATGAAGCATACAATGTATTGAAGATATAATTCCACTTAAATACCTATTATAGACCCATCCTTACTTATTACTGAATTTACTCATGAGTTGAACATGATTATTTGTCAATAACCTCCAAGTATTTAAATCATTCCTTTCTCTCAGCAGCCAAATATTTCTACCCAGGGCTAGAGGGCTTATCTTTCAATCCTCTTTGCGGGGGGGGGGGGGGATGAGCAGAATTGATCTTGGGAACAACAGACCAAGTTTGCTCCTCATGTGAATGAAATGTTCAGTGAGGCTCTGGACTGCTTTGTCTTTAAAGAAAAGGTAGAAAGCAAATACGGCTTGTTCTCCAAATGTCAAAGGGCACAAAGAGTATGAACTCCCGGGAAGTCTTTGCCTCACTGGCACTTCCTTGGTTTGCATTCCAGACCCTTCTCCCACTTCTCATTTCTGCTCTGCCTCTACTTAGGATAATTATGGCATTTGTATGCTCAGGCTGAATTCCTCTGAAGTTGCTCAGAGGCTAGCTTTTGGCCTGAACCTTGAGGTTTTATGTGTATGGAAGGCTTTCTTTTACATGTTTATTTATTCCTTTAGTTGTACTTTCAATAATAAAAACATTAATTTTGGATTAAGTATCATGCTTTCATTCATTAGCACTTAATACCTGTATCCTTCCCACAGTTACAGTTGAAATCATATTGTTTGGAAATGCAGTCCAGGGAAACAAAATGAGTAATAAATAGCAATAATATCTACCATTTATTCAGCATTTAATTCTGTGACAGCAATTGTGCTAATCATTTCACAAACATAATTCAATTATATTTTTACCCTTTATAGGTAAGGAAAACTAAGCTTTGTGAGTACCTTTCCTAAAGGTCACACTGCTAGAGAAAAGCAAAGCCAGAACATACACCCGGGTCTTTCTGGCTTCAGAGACTGTGCATGTGGGGCGCCTGGGTGGCTCAGCCAGTTAAGCATCTGCCTTCGGCTCAGGTCATGATTTTAGGTTCCTGGGATCCAACCTAGCATCAAGCTCCCTACTCAGCAGGCAGTCTGCTTCTCCCTCTCCTCTGGGCAGAATTGCAATTGTATTGCCATCTATGTTGGACCAGAGACTTGCAGGGAAGGAATGGAAGTGAATGATTTCATCCTGGGTGGTCTGGGAGGGCACCTTTGAAAAGGCAACCTGTAGGGGCGCCTGGCTGGCTCAGTCTGTGGAGCATGTGACTCTTGATCGTGGGGTCATGGGGTTGAGCCCCCTGATGGGTGTGGAGATTGCTTAAGAATACATTTTTTAAGAGATTTTATTTATTTGAAAGAGAGAGTGAGCGAGCGCACAACCGGGGGGGGGGGGGGGGGGGGGGGGGGGGGGGGCGGCAGAGGGAGAGGGAGAAGCAGGCTCCCCGCTGAGCAGGGAGCCAGACGTGGGGTCCCAGGACCCTGGGATCATGACCTGAGCCGAAGGCAGACGCTTAACCGACTGAGCCACCCAGGCGCCCCAAGAGTAGAATCTTTTAAAAAAAAAAGATGTCTTTGAAAAGGCAGCCTGTGAGCAGGGCTGGAATGTTAGGAGGGCTGGGGACAGAGAGTTCCAGGCGGAGGGAATGGCAAGTACAAAAGCCCTCAGGCGGGAGCTATTTTGCTTCTTCAAAGGAAGGCGAAGAGGCGACTAAGGCCTATGGCCAGAGGGCAATGAGTGAGGGCGACCCAAGGCAGCGGGGAGAGGTCCACCAGGAGGGGGTAGGGGTCCCATTACTACTGTCAAGGCTTGAGCTTCTAGGCTGCTGAGTGCCATGGGAGGCCCTGGAAGGTTTGGAGAAGAGCCACCCGCGTAAACTCGCTTTTCAGTGAGCCTACTGGCCTACTATGCCAGGCCGGCAGGCGGGCCAGCAGGGAGGCAAACGTCGTGGTCAGGAAGGGACGAGGGCGGCTTGGGCCCGAGCAGGTGACCAAGATAGTGGAAGCGATCGCATGTTTCATCCACTCTGACAAAATCTGCTGGAGGAATGGAATGTGAGGTGTGAGAGAAAGGAGGTGAGCCTAACTCTGAGGTCATCAGCCTGAGCATCTGCCGGGAGAGTTGCCCCTCACCGAGACCCACCTGGAGACCCAGGAGGGGAGCTGGCGGGTGGCACTGGAGAGGGGAGCAGAGCTCGGTTTCGGACATATTCAGAGACGCCTACTAGTCTTCCGAGTGGAGATGTTGATGAGGCAGTTGACTATGCAGGTTAGGACAGATGAGAGGCTGGAAAGCAGAGGAAGACCAAAGAGAATCCGCAAAAGCTTAAAAAAAGAGGGGGGAGGGATTATAAAATGACCCTCTTGAAAAAGTTTTGAGGCATTTTAATTTCTATCACCACTGTTTTTAGATGCCTTATAAAGGTTTGTGATGCCTATAAAAACGTGGCAACACCATGTTGTAAGAAATGGCTATAGCTCCGTCATCAGTCTCTAGAGCGTGCACCGTAGGCAGGCAAGCACCGTAGGCAGGCAAGCATCTACAGCACCTGCGAGCTTCTTAAGAGATGCAGATGATGGGCCCCGCCCGACCCGGTGACCCGGTGATCCTACAAACGGGTAAGGCCCAGGAAACTTGGACAAATGCCCCAGGAGATTGTTATGCACAGTGAAAGGTGACTGAGCTGGATAGGAAGTTTAGTATTTCAAGGTTTTAACCACTTAAAAAGAAAGGAACAACTCTTTAAAAGGTAAAATGTTTTTATTGTTTGAAGCTTAAGAAATGGTAAACAAAAATCAGTATGACATTTCATATCTTAGTCTTTTGAATGAGGTTATAAAAATACGATGCCACTTAGTCTTTACAAAACTTTTGGAAAATGTCTAGAAGTTCACACTTATAATATAAAAAGGCACTTAAAACACACAGTGAGGTGATTTAAAAAAAAACATATGATTGAAATTGCTTGGGAAAAATTTATAAACACAGACTCCTACATAAATAGCACTTGACTTTTTCTTCTTTTTCAAAACATAGATACAGCATTTTCCCCATGTTACCTACAGACAGCATAAATACAGACTGCCCTCTCCCACCTCCTGGTTTAGGTTAACAGAAAAGCAAGCAAAAATTAATTTGTTTTTCTTCAATTTAATCTCATTTTTTTTAGATAAAACAAAATTCTTAATTTGTAACCAAATCACCCTGAGCATCTTTTGGAATGCCAGGCTCATTTTTATTTTGTTTTAAATCACAATTCGTTAAAAAAAAAATAGGAAGACAATGATGTGAATATTATATGTACTTATTACTCAGCCACCCAAATCACCCTAAGCAACAACTTTTCTGAAGCATGTGGACATACATGTGTGTGTGTATTTGTAAATATCACTGTTGCATCATTCAAGCATCAGAGCATACTGAAACCCCACTAGCGCCATCTTTGTAACCTGGGGTCATAGGTCTGGACACAACCCAAATCCTTCCACGCGCCCATCAACGAGAGCAAAGACGTGCACTTCATGCGTTTCTAGCTCTTCATTTTCTTTCAGGCTGGGCAAAGGATAAGACATGTTCACCATAAATTAAGTAAAAACCCACTGCCCTGTGTCACGTATATAAGTGTATTCTTGCTGTGGAAATTCTGTGCTTTGGGAATTTTATAAGATCATCATTTCAGGACATTGTTAAGAAAGAATAATTTTTTTTTTTTTTTGAGCTGACAGAAACATGAGTCAGACCACTAATTTATTCTCTGCATACAGGATGCAGTGTTAGAGGTTAACTGCATTACTTCACCCCAAGGGTGTTGTTCACGAAAGAAACACATCCATGGCTTTAAGGAATCACCTGAATGTGATCAGCTGAAATGATTTAACAATGAAATTCGATTTGGTTACTTTCCTGGCAGGATTTGGACTATAAACAAAAACTGGCATTTACAATAATATGGGGGAAAATATAGAGCCACTTGAATACTTATCACTTTATTACTGCAATTATAAATGGTAATGATCTGAATTAGTCCTTGACATTGATTTGTGTGTTTAAATTAGTCGTTAATTATGCCTTTTCTGCTTTTTGTTCTGTTGTTCACCCTTTTAAGAAATGCCATGATAGTGAGTACATGGTTGTGTTGTGTGAAGTATCTTGGACTACCTTCCTGAGCACATGTACATGGGGTCATTTATCAAGCCTCTGCTCATATTTTTCTATTTAACTTTTCTGTTGGATAACATTGAAAAGCCTTTGCTGATTTTCAAGGCAGTCTTTCAGCTTATCCTCTGTCAAAGTCAGTCGCTGCTCCAAGATTGAAACAGTCTGCAAAAGGAGGACAAAATAATCAATACCTAGTGACCTGGAGGTGAGGACGACGGTCATCTCTGCATCGGAGATCCTTTCAGGAACTGGAATGTCCACCCCGCTGCTGGGAAGGGGCTCCTAAATCTGCCCCAGAACGTGTTCTGCTTCTGGGCCCTTCTACTGGCAAAAAGTGCATGAAGCAATTTAAGGAAAAGATAAAAACTGATGCCTTTGGAGAGAAAAGAGTAAAAGATGAGGCCTCTGTAGACCATTCCTGTCTGGTCTCCTGAAGCACCAAAGCCAGGGCGGAGGCCACAGGTGGCCTGTGCGCAGCCCCGCAGGCTACACGGCGGGGTGTGCGTGGCGGTGGAGGGATGGGGGCGGGAGCCACAAGCCCAGCCCAAGGCCTGCTTATATGTCACCACTCGTCACTCTGCCGCAACCAATCCATGATGGACCCCATCTATACCGGCTGGATCCCTTGTTTACTTTAAATTGTTAGAATAACCGGCATCAGTTCTCACACCTTGAAAATGACTGCATCTCCCAGGGTTGTTAGGAAGACCGACTGAAGTAAGGCACATAAAATGCTTACGCGGGTGCCTGGTACATAGGACTTGATGAATCTTAGCTCTTTTAACTCCTGTGGCTAAAAAATGAACAAACGACCCCCCCCCACACACACACACAAATGGCTACTTCTACATTTGGCAAATCTAATTTGATATTGACTATTTCATCTTCAATCTTTTAGATTTCTTTTAAACGTTTTATTTTAAAATAAAATGGATTCAGGAAGCTACACAAAAAAACATGTCCCTGAATGAATCCTCATGAGAAAAATACCCTGATAACGAGCACCCAGGTCCAGAACTATTACTTCGCCAGCCACTCCAGCCTTCCTTCCATGGGCCTCTCAGAATCCCCACTCCTGCCCTCCCCCCGGCAAGAGCCACTCTCCTGACCATTATAGTCATTGCTTTCTTATGTTCTTTATGGTTTTATCGTTCAGGTGTACATTCCTAGACACTGTAATTTTGTCTTACGCATTTTCAAAGTTTGAGATGCCATTTAAAGTTCCTTTTAATCTACAGCTTCTCATCCTCACCCACTTTTTTTTTTTTTTAACAATTTGTCTGTTGACAGACTCAGGCCATTTAGAATAGAGTTCGTCTGCAGAGCTTCCACCATTCTGAATTTTAAGGATAGTGTGCTAAGGGTGCAGGTCAGTCTGTTCTGTTCTCTATATTTTCTATAAACTGGCAGCTGGATTCAAAGGCTCGATTAGACTCAGATTAGATCTGCAAGACTATGGATCTAATAAGACCTATAGTTAAGACTATAGGTAGTGTTCTATTTCATAAGAAGGCATGTTAATAAGGTTTGATCATTTCTTTTCTCATAATGTTGGACCTGCTCAATGCCTAGATCTATTATTCTTGAGCACTGTAAATGATATTTAAAAAAATTATTAGCTGGAATAATTTATAAATAAGAGACACTTTCCTCATCTACTACTTGGTTATCCAGTGGTAGAGTTCATACAGAAAAGGCAGAATAAATGCTTGATTATTTTAGTCAACAAGTTTCAAGATAATGAACTGATTCCCTATCGTCCTCTGAAAGTAAACAATTTTTAAAAATATCATTATTTAATAGCTTTTGCTTTCATATTCCATACTACAGATTACGGCTAATTAAAAATGATGCTGATGGGGCGCCTGGGTGGCTCAGTCATTAAGCGTCTGCCTTCAGCTCAGGTTGTGATCCCAGGGTCCTGGGATGGAGTCCTGCATTGGGCTCCCTGCTCAGCAGGAAGCCTGCTTCTCCCTCTCCCACTCCCCCTGCTTGTGTTCCCTCTCTCGCTGTGTCTCGCTCTGTCAAATGAATAAATAAAATCTTAAAAAAAAAAATGCTGATAAAATTTTCTACCATTTCTTGTACCTATGTGGGCCAAGCATTTTGCTATATATTTTACATACATTATCACAATTCCACATGCTAAAGCTGTTGATATGTATATTAGCAACACCTTTAACGCTGGTTAATTCCATTTATCTATAGTTCAGTGCAGATGAGTTATAAAGACTGTGAGTGAGTTAGGAGATGCTCAGTCATGTGTAATTAAAGTGAATCAGAACCTGTTTATTTTACTTGCTACTTGCCCACAGATTCACTGTTTCTATTTTCCAAGTGTGTTATGCTTGCTTTAACCTCTTTATTTATAAAAGAAAGCCAGCCTTTCAAAATTAAAAATCATAGAGACATTCAGTAAATCTTAAATGATTCATTTAACCTTGAATCAGGTAAGAAGAAGGAAAGATGGGTCATGAGGCTGAAAGAATAGAGAATGGAAAGATTCACTTGGGAGAGGCTCTAAGAAGGACCTGACATTGAATATGACAGTGGAGGTGAAGAAGTTGTGGCAATATGGGAAATAAGCCAACCAAAACTAAATTTGGCATGAGGCCAAAAGGGAAGCTGCCATTAAAGGGAAGAAATGTGTGATAAATACAGGGAAGGTCACCTCCAGTACAATACTGCAAAGTGAAAGTTAGTGATTTTAATATGACTTTCATTGAACAAATCTTGTGATGACTCCAAGTACTCACATGGCTCTTTCCCACAATCTGTCAGGACCCCAAATCCACATATGTGGCCCTTGCTTCTAAAGGCCCTGAGATGTGATCTATAGGTTTTTAGTATTCATTTAATTAGTGGCTCTAAACCCTGGCTGTGAAACAGAATCATATGGGGTACTTCAAAAGACAGATGTCAGGGCCTTACCCCAGCCCAGTCGCAATGGATTGTCTGGAGATAACTGGCCATCTGCATATGTATGCTTTATAATTGCCCAGGTGACTACAATGTACAGCCAGTGTTGAGAACAGAATGAGACGATTTCCATGCAAGAGCTATTTCAACTTGAAATATGTATTCTGGAAAAGTAATTGCCATCTCTCTAGCTCACATGATAGCCTCTCTTTGTGTATAACTTGTAGCAAGGTCTGCTCTGACAAATACAGATCAGAGCAACAATAAGGCTTCTTCAAAGGAAACACTGAATCAGCAGGGCTGGAGGAGAAACCTTTGATGTATCCATTTCAACACACCACCTTCCTTTAAATGACACCTATATCTTCTGACCAAGAGTTGGAAGACCTTTAGTATATAAAGATCCACAGTATACCTTCTTTGCAAAGGTAAAAAGGCATCAAAGGATGAGGTAATATTCTAAAACAGGTATGCAAAAGCCATCCCCTCCAGAAGCACACAGCATCAACGTAATTAGCTTTGGAACGAGGAAAGTTATATCTTGGACAATGAGAAGTTCTTCACAGTGAAGAACCATAAACATTGTCAAAATTTCATTCTAACCAGAAATTGTTAATCATTTTTCTTATGGCCCCAAGTATTTCTTTGATAATGTCCTAATCTGAACACAATACATCAAAAATCTTCAGGTAAAACCTTACCGAGCAGAATCATAGACATTTATAGCATGGGGCACCACGCTACTCTTCCCAGTCTCCGCTGTTCCTTCTGGCCTCCAGATGGCAGACAGAGCACAAGGGTAGCTGTGTGTGTGTGTGTGTGTGTGTGTGTAAATGCACACATGCATGTGTACACTTGGGCTCTGATCTTACCTCTACAAGATCTTACTATAGCAGCTCCGCAGAGCATGCCTTGCTATATTGCTTGCCACCTTGAGCTAGCCTTTCTAAGAAATTTCCCCACGGCTCTGCTAGGTCTGCGACCTGCTGTAAGCAGCACTGTTCTGTATAACCTACCCCTAAGTACAAAGCACGCTAGCCCACCTGGGTCAGAACATTGAGTTGTTCCATAATATGCTCTAAAGCGTCAGTCACAGCAAGTGGTATGCTTCTTTGGCTCTCAGAAGGGAAGTCACTCATGTCTTCTGTTTTCTTTTTCAAGGATGTTGGTGAACATTCCGATGACAATAAAGAAGGGTTCAAGAAATATCTGCTGATCTCTTCGCTCTTGTCTGCCAAGGTTCTAACAGTGGTGGTATCTGTTGTCTTTGACATCACAGAAAAGATAGGAACAGTTACATTTTCCAAACCTCAACATGATATACATATAAGTTTTTAATATTCTTCCTCTAAATACCCAGCTTACGTTTAATTGTTTATCCTCAACTACAGTTTATAAAAATTACAATTGCAGGGAGAAAATAAAGCTAACAACGAATAGATAAAATTCACAATTTTCCTTGATTTTTTACATGAAATACACTTTGTATGTATCTGTCTGCTAGATGAGGTGTTCTACCACTAAAAGGACTGTTTAGATGCAGTCTAATTCTTAAGCAAAAACAAATACCACATCAAGATGACTATTATTTTTTAAAAAAATGGAAAACAACAAGTGTGGGTGAGGACGTGGAGGAACTGGAGCCCTGGTGCATTGCTGGGGGGATATCAAATGGTGCAGCTGCTATAGGAAACTCCACAAAAAGTTAAACACAGAATAAACCATATGACATAGCAATTCCACTCCTAGGTAGATGTCCAAATGAATTTAGAGCAGAAACTTGAACAGATACTTGTACGCCATTGTTCACAGCAGCTTTACTCACAATAGTCAAAAGGTGGAAACAACACAAATATCTACCAACAGATAACCGTAGAAACAAAATGTGGTACATAGATACAATAGAGGATTGTTTAGCCACAAAAATGACTGGAATTCTGATATATGCTACAACATGATGAACCCTGAAAATACTACGCTAAATGAAATAAGCCAGACACAAAGGAAAATAGTGCATGAGTCTACTAATATGAGGTATGCAGAACAGGCAAATTCACAAAGACAGAAACAGTAGAGATCACTATGGGCTGGAAGGAGGGAGAGTTTGATGGGTACAGAGTTTCTGTTTGGAATGGTGAAAAAGTTCTCAAAATAGATAGTGGTGGTGATTACGTAACACTGTGAATACTTATTGTCAGTAAACTATACACTTAAAAGTGGTTAAAATGGTAAATTTTATGTTATGTATATTTTATCACAATAAAATAAAAAACAAAAAACCCTCCAAACATACGGTAATGAGCAATCTGAAAATAAAATTTAAAAAACAACTCTATTTGCAATGACACCAAAAAGAATGAAATACTTAGGACAAAAGTGCAAGGCTTGTTCACTGAAAACTGCAAACATGCAAAGATCTAAATAAATGGAAAGGCATCCACACCCATGTTCATGGACCAGAACAGTTAATACTGTTAAGATGGAAATACTCCCCTAATTGATATGTACAGATTCAATACAATTCCTATCAAAATCCTAAATGCCTTATTTGCAGAAATTGACAAACTGATCTTAAAATTCATAAGGAAATGCAAGGAACCCAGAATAGCCAAAATAATACTGAAGAATAAACTTAGAGGACTCACACTTCCCAATTTCAAAATTCAGTACAAAACTACAGTAGTCAAGACAGTATGGCAATGGGTATAAAGACAAACATATAGATCAATGGAACAGAACTGAGAACCCAGAAATACGCCCTTCCACTTATGGTCAGTTTTTTTTTTTTTTTTACAAGGTTGCCAAGACAATTTAATGGGGAAAGAATAGTGTTTTCCACAAATGGTGCTGGAAAAACTAGATGTCTAAATCCAAAAGTATGGACTTGGACCCTACCTCACACCATATACAAAATTACCTCAATATGGATCACAGACTTAAATATAAGAATGAAAACTATAAAACTCTTAGAAGAAAACATACAAGTAAAATTTCCTGGCCTTGGATTAGACAGACTTTTCTTAGAAAAAACACCAAAAGTACAAATGACTAAATGAATAAATAAATTGGACTTTATTAAAATTAAAAACTTTTGTGCTTCAAAAGATACCATCAATAAACAGAAAAAAAGCCCCATAGAATGGAAGAAAACATTTGCAAATCATATATTTGATAAGAGATTTGTTGGAGAACATATAAAGAATATATAACTCCTACAACTCTAATATAAAAAGAAAAATACTCCAAAAATGGTCAAAGGATCTGAATGAATGTTTCTCCAAAGATACACAAATGACCAATAAGCTCATGATAACATGCTCAACATCGTTAGCCATCAGGGAAATGCAAATCAAAGCCACAATGAGATACTGCTTCATACCCACTAAGACTAAAACAAAAGACAGAATATAACAAATGGTGGTGAAGATACGGAGAAATAGGAACCCTTACATATTTGCTAGTGGGATTGTATAACGGTGCAGCCACTTTGGAAAACAGTTTGGGTAGTTCCTGAAAATGTTAAACATAGAATTACCAAAAGACCTAGCAATTACACTCCTTGGTATATACCAAAGAAAAATGAAAGTATTTCATTTATAATGAAGTATTATCCATGATAGCCAAGCAAATGGAAAGACTCCATATGCATCCAAATGCTGTGATAATGAATGGATTAACAAAATGTGGTATATCTATACAATGAATATTATTTAGCCACAAAAGGGATGAAGAACTAATACACGCTACCATGTGGATAAGCCTTGAAAATATTAGGCTAAGTTAAAGAAGCTATACATAAAGGCCACACATTGAATGATTTCATGTTCATGAAATGGTCATAATGGGTAAATATATGAAGACAGACTGAGATTAGTGGTTGCCAGGACCTAGGAGGAGAAAAGAGGGGGGGAGAGATTGGTAATGGTACGAGGGCGATGAAAATGTTCTAAAATTCTGGGGCACCTGGCTGGCTCAGTAGGTGGAACATGTGACTCTTGATCTCAGGGTCATGAGTTTAAGGCGTGGAGATGAAAGGAAAGGAAAGGAAAGGAAAGGAAAGGAAAGGAAAGGAAAGGAAAGGAAAGGAAAGGAAAGGAAAGGGGAAAGGAAAGGAAAGGGGAAAGGAAAGG